CTATGCAATTCAGGCTGACCTTAAGCTCACTTTGTAGCCCGGGCTGGTCTTGAACTGCAGTGATCCTCCTGCCTCAGCCTCCCGAGTGTTGGGATTACAGGTGTGTGCCACCATGCCCAGCTAGGTATATACAGACTTTAAGGCCCCAGGGATTCAGACAAGGACCCTTAAAGGCTGGAAGAATCCATTAGTTTTAGGGATCTATTTGGAGAAAAGCTGAAGAGACATTAGTTATTATTTTATATTCATCAAAAAAGTTTATTTCTGTATTTTACACCTTTATTTATTTATTTATTTATTTAGAGACAAGGTCTCTCTATCTAGTTCAGGCTGGTCTTGCGCTTACTTTGTAGCCCAAGATAGCCTCAAATTCACAGCAATCCTCCTGCCTTAGCCACCTGAGTGCTGAGATTACAGGCATGTGCTACCATACCTGGTTTCCTACCTGTAGTTTTTGGATTAAAAACCTGAATTTTTTTTTTTTTTTTTTTTTTTTGGGCCTGGGAATCGAATTCAGGACCTCACACTTGCCAGGTACGCACTGTGCTACTAAGCTACGTTCTCAGCTCTTAACCTGAATATCTTCTATTTAAATTGATACCAAGCTGTGTGTAGTGGCACACGCTTATAATCTGGGAGACTGAGGCAGGAGGAGCGTTGCAAATTCGAGACCAGCCTGGGCTACAAAGTGAGCTCAAGGCCAGCCTAAACTGCATAGTGAGACCCTGTCTCAAGAAAAACAACAAAACCAGAACAAAAAAATTGACATCAAATCTGGCCTCTCCTTATATTGATTTTTTTGAAAATCAATATTAGACTTTTATCCTTGTTAAATTTTATTTTGTTGGATTCAAGACAGAGTTCCAGCCTGCTAAGACCTTTTGGACTTGATTCAGTCATCTTTCATATTAGCCGTTTCTCCCAGTTTGGTGGCCACTCCAGGTTTGATAAATGGACACATCCAAGTAATTAATTACAATGTTGAGCAGTGCAGGGCACAGTGGCACATCCCTGTCATTTCAACACTGAAAGAGGCTAAGACAGGAGGGTCGAAAGTGCTAGAATTCCAAGTGTGTGCGCCATACCTGGCGCTCTACAGTAATTTGTAATGAATTTTCTGAATTTATTATTTTTGGGATACATAGTATAGTTCCATATATATGTGGAATATATATATATTCCATGTGTATAATATGTTAGCTGTTCTTTTTTTTCTATCTGAAAAGCTACTATTAAGTCCATGTACTGGTAGTAGTTTTTGAGATATATATTACTGTATATTAATCTTACAAAATACTAGTTTTCCCTGTAGCTATGTAGTGTTTTATTATTGATGTTACTTATTTATTCATACTGGGAATTGAATGTAGGGCTTTCACACTAAGCTACATCGCCAGCCCTTTTTAAATTTTAAATCTTTTATTCAGAAATAAGGTCCCATTAAGTCGCTGAGTTCCCAGGCAGAGCTCAAACTTGAGATCCTTCCTCAGCCTCCCAGAGTGCTGGGGTTACTTACAAGTGTGTGCCACCATGCCTGATTTGTTGGTGTCTTTTAAAATGTGCTACAGGGTTGGAGTGTATCTCAGTGTAGAGCACATGCTTAGCATGACAGTCCAAGTTGAATCCCCAGCACCAAGTTAAAAACCAACCAAAAAAACCAAAACAAAATAACAAGAAAAAATGATCAGTACACAAAAGGAAGGGTTTTATTCCCTTTTCGGTGGGGGGTGTGTGTGTGTCTTTTTTTTCCCCTGGTTCC